CGGACCCACCTGGGGGGAGCTGGGGAGAAGCAAGAGGAGGGAAAGGAGCAGCACCAGGCTGGTGGTGGTGCCCAGGGGGGCAGGGGGGGCCCCGCTGGCCCTGCCACCTCGTCCGGTACCCGGCGCAACTGGGGCTGAGGCTGCCATGGTGCCGCCGACTCTGGCTGTCCGGTGCCTCTGCTGGGCACTGCTCCTCCCCGGTCATGGCCCTGCACAAATATTTGAGTGGCCCCAGGCAGCGGGACAGCCCCTTGTCACCCCCCACCCCCACTGGGGGCTGCCAGAGCCTCTGCAGGGCATCCACAGGGCATCCATGAGGCAGCTGGTGCCGGGGTGTCCCCGACTGCCTCCAGCTACAGCCCCCAATAGGGTGCCCAGGGGGCAGCTGCGCTCCACGGCTGGGTGAGCTCCACACCCAGTGCCCCCATGCCATGCCCGGCCCAGATTTGCACCAATGCTGCTAGAGCATGTGGGGCAGGTCATCCCCTCTCTGCCCAGTGTCACCCCAGAGGATGGGGCGTGCGAGGTGGCAGTGCCTGCTTGGGATGGGCAGCAGGAGGGGTAGTGAATGGGAACCTGGTGGAGACAGAGCAAAGCCCCAGTGTGGGGTTTGGGGCAGGAGAAGGGGTTGGGAGAGGGGCAGGAGGGGGCAGGGATGCGCTGGCTGGCCTGGGGGAGAGCGGGGGGCCAGTGCAAGCCCCCAGCGCAGGCAGCAGCCCCACAGGAAAGACCCCTGCCAGAGCGTGGGGTGGGGGCATGTCCCCAAAGCCAGGGCTCCTGGTGCTCCCTGCAGGACTGGTGCCAATGGGGTGCCAGGCTGAGCCCAAGGGGGTTGCAAGACTGTGGGATCCGCAGGAAAAGCCACCCCCTGAGGTGTATGAGGGCACTGGGCCGGGGGCCCTGCACCCTCCACCCAGCTCTGCCCTGGCAGCCTCAGCATTGACGCAGGCACAGTGCCAGGGTCAGCTGAGGACAGAAACTCTTTCCCTCAACTGCTGCTCCTCTGTCCCTTTGGCAGCGCCTGCCCCACCACCAGTGCAGAGGAGATCACGCTGCTGGGGCCAACCCTTCAGCACCTGGGGGTACCCCAGGAAGGAGTCCAGCCCGATGGGCACAAGAGCCCACTGGCACAGTGCATACGAGGACACAGGGCTGGGACAGACAAACCCCAGTGCCCATGGATCTCTGGGTACCCAGCAGGTCTGAGGGGTGCCCGCAGCAGGCTGGGGTGCAGGTGCCTGCCGGGGGCAGCACCGGGCACTGGCATACAGTGGTGCCCAGGGCTAGGAGCATGCCCAGCTCCCATGCCTTTCATCATCGCTTGCCTGGATGAGTCAACACCACATGCTTAATGATTGACAAGGGAAAATCTTCCCCCTGGGGTCAGGTCCATGAGCTTCCAAAAAGGCAGAAGATGTTCCCCTCCCCACAGCCTCCTGGCTGGAGGTGGCCAGGATGTGGCCAACTGGTGACAAGGGGCAGGAGAGGAGCCTGGGGCTCTGTGGCTTCTCACTCTGCCAGGATGGGGGAGAAACTTCAGGGGTGGTGGGTAGGGGAGGGATGGGGGCTGGCAGCACCCTGCCCCACAGCAGGGAAGAAGTGCTGAAACATCCTGATGGAGCTTGGACCAGCAATAACAGATAGGGCTGGAAGCCAAGCAAGAGATGAGACCCTGGCAAGAGCCATGAGCTGAGGATGCAGAGGCAGTACCCAGGTGGCAGTGCCACCAAGCACTGGGGGCAAGGACTATGGCTTCCACCCATGCCTCGCTGCTCAAAGAAGGGGAACTTTGCCCCAGCTTTGCAAACACAGGGCATCGTGCCCAGGAACAGGCAGGTTTGCCTGCAGACACCTTCCCAAAATAACCCTGGCAGCCAAATGCCTTGGCTGTGGTGACAGACAGCCCAGGGAGATCCAGCTCATTGGCCCCCCATGGTCCCCTGGGAGCTGCCCCAGACAGAGGAATGTTAGGCATTTCTTGTCCCCAGCCCCACCAAGGCAGCTGCCTGCAGCCACATCTGGTCCCCCCTGCCCCAGGGCAGGTCTGTGCTCCAGGGGAGCCTCTTCTCCCAGCTCCTGCTTGAACCAGCTGGGATTTACCCCCAGCACATAGCAGGGAGCAGCACCCACCCCCTCCAGTACAAGCACAAGGGTGGCTGCATGGTGACACAGCCTACACCAGACTGTCCTAGGGGGCACCCGCTGCACCCCAGGGACAGAGCAAGAACAGGCCAAGATGGTCTTTAGCAAAATCCATCAATTTATTTACACAGTCTGCAATAAATAGAGGAAAGCCAGGCAGCAGGGATGCTGGGACTGGGACCGAACCCCCAGGAACAGGGACAGGCCAGGAGCCCAGCAGAGCCTGAGCCCCATGGGACAGCAAGGGTGCGAGAAAGCAGAGGGATACCACAACAGGGGTCTGACCCCTGGGATAGGGTGAGACCTGAGCCCTGCTAGAGGGCAAGCCAAGGAGGTGAAGGACAGGGGCGGCAAAAGCAGCAGTGGGCAGAGCCCAGCGCAGGCAGCTGCCTGGCCCCTGGCACTGGGAGCAGAGCTCGCAGCTCAGGTCCCTCCAGTTTTCACAGCCCTCCCCAGAGCAGAACTGCAGGGGAGGAGAGGGGCTTTCTCCCCCCCAGCCCAATTCCCAGCCTGGTGAGATGCTGCCACAGCTGGGACTAGACAAGATGGGGCGCATGTGAGCTGTGAAGGAATCCCATGGGCAGGGTTGCGCCAGATACTGACAGCACCAGCTTGGTGCCAAGCATGGGGAACCTGGACCGCTTGCCCTCCCTGCCCTGGCTCCACCAGAAGACCCCCAGCCACCTCCTAAGAGCTTTGTGCTCCAGTGCAGGGCAGCTCTTCTCTGGGAGTATCGGGCCAAGCCCCCCCACCCCCCAAAAACAGGCAGCGGCCATGGGGCTGCAGGAAGGACAGATGCCACGGGGCAACCGCCCCAGCACAGGCTTCTGCCTTTAAAAACCTACAATTTACATAAAACTGCCATTGTAAAACCTTCCCGCAAAGCAGTGCCGCGTGGGGAGGGGAGACGAACCCACCCCAGGCAGAGCAAGACAAACCCTAAAGTCCGGATCTGGCAGGGACAGGCAGAGCCTGGGGGTGATGTGCCGGGGCAGCAGGCATTACCGGCAGGTGCAGGACTCTGCGATCATGTTCTCGTATTCCTTGTAGAGGATGCCGCCGTCGCGCTCTATCATGAGGACGCTGATGGGGCTGTAGCGGTAGGGGACACAGGAGGGTCGGGGCACGTTGGCATCCACCAGCTGATGGACGAAGCTCTGCACCACGGCGTGGTTGGGCGCGTGGTAGTCGTAGCGGAGCAGGCGGGGACAAGCGCCCTTGCAGTAGCGTGGGTTGTAGCGGTGGGGAGCAATGATCCAGTGGTCCCAGCCCAGCTGGGCGAAGCTGACAGGGAAGGGGTGCAGGGAGCAGTCGCTCTTCTCCCCTCCCTGCTCCCGCAAGTAGCCAGGCAGGTCATGGGCCAATGTCCCTGTGTCACGCCGGTGCCGGTGGGGCTCTGCTGCCAGAGGTGCCAGCCCAGCCTGGGTGTCATTGAGGTAGAGGAGGAGGAAGGGGGGGCTGGGGGTCACTGGGGCATTGTGGCCCCCTGCCCGGCCGGCACGCACACAGACATGCCGCAGTGCCAGGCTCCCCGCACTGCCATTCCCCGGCACCAGGTAAGGGGTGACATCTGCTTCGGCCCAGCCATGGCGGGGGAGGGCGGCAGGGCTGAGCAGCATCCCGGGTGCCTCACCAGTGGCCACCAGCTCCAGGGCGCAAAGGAGGCGACCATGGGCCAGTGGCAGGCTAGGCAGGTAGACCACGGTGGCTCGGAGGAGGTGCTCGGCCTCAGGCTGGCCCTCCAGGCGGTAGGTAAGGGGCTGCATGTACCAGCGACCTGCAGGGAAGCAGCGGTCAGTGCCCCCCAGTACAGCAGGCACTGCGCGAGCACAGCCTTCTCCCAGGGTGCTTGCTGCAGCCCCACACAGTGCAGTGGAGCCCGTGTCATCACCACCCTCAAAGCCCGTAACAGCCAGGTGCCCCAGGACGAGGCAGGAGCTTCAGCAAACAGCAGCCATGTGCCACAGCTCACCGGCAAGGTGAAGGGCAAAGAGTGGCTGGGACAATTCCCATCCTCTGCACCACCACCACTGGCCTGGCACAGCATCGAGCAGGATGGGAAGGGGAGAGGGGCACACAGGGCCAGCGATGCCCTTGCCCATCTCACCCCTGGGACAGGGAAAGCCTGGGCCCCCTGCCAAGAGAGACCCCACGGCCAAGGGCAGCCCCTGCAGGGCACAGGACGTGCCAGCCCTGGCCAGGACACTTACAGAGGGGGAAGGAGGCAGGCAAAGACACCCCCCCCCCCCCCCGGCCCAC